ATCCCCTCAAATATTTTAATATCATCAAGCTAATGTCATATATTCTTGTCGTACTGAAATCATCTTCTGCTTCTAGCGAAGTCGCCCATTACAAGCTTGAAACGATGACTTGGCCTGTGTTGACAAGTGGGACGGCCATGTTGTCAGTTTTGTATAGAATCTGATTCTTAATTCCAATGCCAAAAAAATGTATCCTAATTAATACCTCTTCAATTTCAGACATAAAATAATAAATAAATAAATAGATTAAAAATGGTATCGTCTGCAAACCTGGCCATATGTTGATCACTAGTGCGCGGCCGGCTGCGGCTGCATGTATAAATAATTGTATGCGGGTGGGTGGCCAGCATTGTGAGCTGAAGAGGAGCTTTAGGAGATTCATGGAAAAGACTGCAGCTTCTTTTCGTTCCCATGAGCCTTTATCGCAGGACAACGAAAAGAACTTCTCAGATGGGTGGATAGAGGTAAATAAAATTTTCATATATAATTTTTTTTTTCTTTTTCGTATTTAGGGCCTGTTTGGGGCAGCTTATTTGGTGCGGCGGCGTTCTGAAAACGCACCTGGTCTGTTTGGATAAACTGCGTTTTGGCAGCTTATTGGTTTTCAAAACTCTAAAAACAGTGTTTTCACACAGGTGCGGTGACAGCTTTCTGACTGCTGTTTGAGTTTTCCAAAAAAATAAAAATTTGTAATAGTCACCGTACCTAGCTTATCAGTATATTATTTTCAATCAGTTTATCAACAGATTATTCAATAAACTACAGCTGCCCCCGAACAGATCCTTATACTTCATAACTTAGGGAATATGTATATAAATATAAATATTTAGGTAATTTCATAAATATTCGATCTTATGTGTCGCCGTATCATGATGCATATACGTTATAAATTATAGGAAAATAGTTTTTTGAGCTTGATAAGAAATGTGTTTGTCAAAGTATTTGTTAGATTGCATGTAGGATTGAATGTTATGTGATTGGTAATTATAATGAGAAATGGTTTTATGTGTGGAGTGAATTATTATCGTCTCCTTTCTGAAGTTTTCATATGTGGAATATGCAAGGCACTGCGTTTTGGCAGCTTATTGGTTTTCAAAACTCTAAAAACAGTGTTTTCACACAGGTGCGGTGACAGCTTTCTGACTGCTGTTCCCGCATCTATCTAGGTGCGGTGACAGCTTTCTGACTGCGGTTTGGGTTTTCCAAAAGATAAAAATTTGTAATAGTCACCGTACCTAGCTTATCAGTATATTATTTTCAATCAGTTTATCAACAGATTATTCAATAAACTACAGCTGCCCCCAAACAGATCCTTATGCTTCATAACTTAGAGAATATGTATATAAATATGAATATTTAGGTAATTTCATAAATATTCGATCTTATGTGTCGCCATATCATGATGCATATACGTTATAAATTATAGGAAAATAGTTTTTTGAGCTTGATAAGAAATGTGTTTGTCAAAGTATTTGTTAGATTGCATGTAGGATTGAATGTTATGCGATTGGTGATTATAATGAGAAATGGTTTTATGTGTGGAGTGAAATATTATCGTCTCCTTTCTGAAGTTTTCATATGTGAAATATGCAAGGTACCGAACACGAACACAAGCTTTGTTCGTTCGTGTTCGGTTCGTTTACACCCCTAGATATGATCTTCGATTTTAATCATACTAAATACGAGTGATCATACATGGCCTATGGATGCATAATAATTGATTTATAACCTTTCTCTCTCTCTCTCTCTCTCTCTCTCTCTCTATATATATATATATAGAGAGAGAGAGAGAGAGAGAGTACTCAGAGCAGTTGGTCAGACATCTGTTTGTCAGTTGTAAGTCCCATCTGGTCCGAGGTTCAATATTCCCAGTGGAGGGTGTGGTGCTCGAATTGTTAGGCGCATCGGGAATGGTCGGGGATTGTATAATAGCCTTAGGTCATTCCCTTTGAATATAATATATATATA